AGGAGTAAGCAGCGAATATCGGGTCACCATAGAAAGGGGAAGTGTAGGTTTGTACTTTCACTTGCGATCAAGGCAGGAACACTAGAAACAACCATTGTCAAGAGGAAAACAGCCGATTCGAACTGTGATAAATCTGTTTCTTGCGCTCTGTTTAGAGCAGCGCACGCGCAATCATCGACGCAATATACGTAAGCAGGAGGGTGCCAGAAAGCAGACGCGATTGAGAACTAGCCAAAACAACTCTGGCACCGTGCCAGACAACATGCGTTCGCGTGCGTCTAATCAAACGCAAGACAGTCCCGTGATTCCCCATTTTAAAGTGAACTTCGACCAGGACTGCAAAATAGTGCGACAATGCAGCATGCAGGAAATTCCAGATCTAGCTTTTTGGCTTTGCCAAAAGCAAAAAGGAACATAAAAGCGCGTTCAGTCAATGGAAGCGACGAAGGAGATAGAGCATCGCCTTCAAAATATTACAGTCAGCGGAGTTAGCATCCTGTTTTTCTTACTGATGTGACTCATTCCCGTAAGTGCAAAGGCAACTTGAGCTGATAACTACGAATGCCAAAACAAAATTTGTTTAAGCAAATAAACAGATGAAAGTTTAGGCACGAAAAGAAGCATTAAATTCTGTAAATATGGAAGACGATACTTAATAACATTTTGAAAGGCAAACGAAGAAAATCAACGATTTTGCCAACTATAGCTGAAACTAACTTCTTCTCCTCAGCAGCTGCCTTCTTCTGCTGAATTGAGAGCATTTCTTGCACATAGGTGAGACATTCAATGAGCATCCCATGCTCACATTTCGGACAGTACCATTTGCCTGCGGGAACAAACCTGCAGAAACTCTTTAAGAGTAAAATCGAAACATAGGTGATACGTACATAGTACAAATAAATAGTATGATTGAAGCTATTTATAGAAAACTGGAATAAAAACTCACCATAATGGGGGCTTCAAACATGTCGTGTGCCAAGCATCATCGCAGTTATCGCAGAGCAACAGCTATAAAATTTAAAAATTTGTTTAACCTGGCGCCATACACTAAATAATGCGCTCGTCAATGGGTTAAAAAAGGCGGAAGATTTACATGGTTGATTTACGAAACAGATCTTCTTTAAACCTACAATCTCTTCGTTGTCGCTTCTCTTGCAGGCCCCACAGGAGAAGTCGCCTTCAACTCTGCGTCGCACTTCTTCTTCCTAGAATTATTCGATATCACAGCTGTAAAAGACAGGTCCCAACAACGAAATTTTTACCTCCTCGCCCGACTCATCCTCATCGTCCACATCATCTATGACTTTCTTTCTCCTACCTCGGCGTTTCCTATAAAATCGTTAGTACTTTGTATTGTGAAGAGAACTTCACCTAATACGATGTGACATTTCATCCTATGTAAATGAAACCTCAAACCGTAAGATCTCAGAGAAAGCCATGATGAAACTGGCAAGCTGGCCCGAAGTGTTTAAATCATGCATGTCAATGAAAACGACAGCTAGCTTCTCTTTGACTTAGGAGAATATTTGGTAAATGTTGAAAATTCAAAAGAAAGTCCCTTCTTCATGAAACTCAGATCTTCCTCATTTTTGTACCAAGATAATCTAGTGGAAACAAATTTGTCATACTTTCCTGGAGCCTTCTGCCAAGTGGATTTGAAGTAAAGAACAAGATAACAACTTACCCCGTGGATTTCCTGGGAGTTTTTGGTTTAAACTCGTCATCGCTGCTAGCAGATCCATCATCTTCGCCTTCAGATGAGCCGGCCGATCCGTCAGAATCATCGGAAGCAATTGGAGTCGAGGAGTCCTAGACTGGAGTTGATAAAACAATGATAAAGGATAGGAAGATAAAATAACATACCCTCTTAGCATTTTCTTCCTTCAAATGCTCTTCATTTGTTTCAAGAACGCTAGGCTTCTTTTCGTGCGTTTTCTTCGGAGAGATGTATTTTCGAATGTTCGTTTGGGCTTTTTGAGATGCACTTCTTCGAGGTAAAACTCGACGATCTCCCTACAATCCCAAATGTTCAAATAGACACATGTACCACAATTTTGTAATGAACACTATAGATGAGCATTTATCAAAGCAGACGGTACCCATATGTTTCCGTGCTAATCACAAGTGTTCTCGCAACCTCCTCAAGCATATTAAACAATTACCTCTTCCGCCTCGTCATGCTTTTCTTCCTCTTCATGATGAACTTCCTCATGAATCTCTTGTGGATTTTCCGTCCTAGCGTTTCGCCTATTTCGTCGCTCCTCCTTTTCTTTGATCATCCTCTCTCTCATTCGCTAGAAAAAAAAAACAAGATGAAGGGTCTCAGACGAGAAAAAACGTCTTACCTTTATGGCTGCCTCATCAAGGAACATGTCAACAAATGTGCCTTTTTTTGTCACCATATTCGTAAGAGTGTGGTCAGGATCACCTTCACCAGGTTTATTCTGAAAACAAGCACGAAAGTGAGCAATGCTGTACTGACTGAACGGTTGAGTAGCAAATCTTACAAAGTCACGCTTGTCGTTTGGATTCTTCACATAACCCAGATCTTCCTCCTTTAACTTTGCAATAAGGCCTTCGAGATCAGTCATATCACTAGAAACAAAAGACTATATTCCAAATTAATGAAACTGGAAAGAAAATATTGCTTCCAACATTTCATTCCAAATACTATTTAGTGAAACACAACATGAATAGAAGCTTAACACAACCAAACCTTTACTTACAAAACTTGCAAAGCAGAAAAAACTACTCACCTAGCAACAAGCGTCCACGAGGTGCCGCTCTCATCATCTTGTTCTGTCGTGTATAAGCGTAACCCATATTTTGAATCTATTTGGAAATAATAGGCGAGACCGTCCTTATCCACTCCAGTTACCAGGTGTCTCATATCCATAGCTCTTAGAGCTGTGGGTATCTAGAATTCAGGAACTTATAGTCACAACATTACTGGATAGCGAGCATTGCTGAACATTCACTGCAGTGATTTGAACTTCAAATTCAAAGAAACAAAACGGAAGCGAACTCACACTCTCTCTTAATCGAATATTATGTTCTAACTGCAGTTCGCATAAAACTCTCAAGATTTTCAACTTGCTTGAAATTGACATGTGAACGTAGCCATACCTGAAACCAAAGCATAAACATTACTAAGAATCGCAAGAATAAGAGATGAAATGGGAATTTTACTATGTTCGTTTAATTCATACATTTCTTAGATTGGGTTAGCGCTGTGTCAGAGATCTGTTATGGATATCTAAAACTACAATTGGTACTTTTGCTTAGGAATCCCCCTCTA